GTCAAAATTATTCCAATTTTGATGGTAGAAAGTAGAAATTAATTATGGCACTCACTATTAAAAACATAAGTGTAACACCCCTTACTACACGTGTAACCCCCCTTTATGACAGTGTCAATACTTTGGGCTGCATGTATAGTCCTTGATGTTCTATTCACTAAAGTTCAAAGAAAAATTATCTAAAAAGCCAATGAATGAACTCCTATTACATAAATTCTTTAAACGCAATAACATGCTTTCTACAAACTAACAGATAGTTGCAGATTTGAATGGATTACAAGAAAGCAGGTTTGGTAGTAGTATTATAATTAGGATTTTTATAAAGCATCATGTTAACTCAATTATATATGAATTGATTGACATGGGTTCTAATTTTTCTAGAATTGATTTCCAAATTTGGAAAAATCCTGTCTGTATTTGAAACAATGCTTGTAACTTGTACATATGAACAAGTCCTATTTCCATTGTCAAGCCACATATGAAGCATTATATGTCAGGATGACAATGACGGCCTATTTCTGTTGTCAAACCACACACAATGTGTTATATACCATCTGGCCTATTCATGTCATCAGGACACACTTGAGAGCCCGTTGTGGGGACACTGCCCAAATTTGGCACATAGTGATCTAGCTGGCATGGCCGGTTTCATAAAGTTGGCCACACATGAAGGCTTTTCCTGAGCTGGATACAGAGCATCCTAGTATCCTATTGTGTTTTCATGATTTATTTTTAATAAAATAGACTTTCGTGATCAAATGGTGCATTGATGAGTAGTCTAATAAATTTATACAGGTTATGCATGTTTTCCATAATATTAAATGGATTGGCCTTACAAATAACATGTATATGTAAAATGTGTTTATTTAATTATTAACAATGGGGGGGGGGTTATTTATTCAATTGTTATAGATTATTATGAATGTTCTTCCTCTTCCCCTTCTGCATCTGTGGTTTTTACTCTCTTTTTAAAAGATTTTCTACAAAATTCATATAACAAATGTTACATAAAACAACATGTTACTTTCACTAAGTTGTTGTTCTCAACTTCTTTCCATTTATTGCCTTTCGTTGATGAAATTTAGCTGATTCAGTGGTTTACATTCTGTTCAATGTTTAATTTCAGGCAATTTTTCTTCAAGTAAATAGTATTATGAAAGTTGTGGGATTCAAAGGGATTCAAAAGATATGATAACAACAAAGTGTAAAGCTTCAAATTTGTGTAATTATTTGCACATGATTTATTGTAAGAATGGGCTACGTAATACCCTTGTAAAAGTATTTTAAACTGTATAAAAAAAAATTGAAATCAATTGTGAAAATCCATTCCTTATATAGGACGGTCTCTCCTGTTGTTTCTACTGTCTCTCCAGGTAATTGTCTTTGTTTTTCTAATTCAGCTTCCCAACCTTCTTCCATGGCTCTAGTTCTGTACCTTGTTTGAAAATTCGGAACAAAGCTTGCTGCAATTGTATTAGCATAATTAGCATTATTCCAATGGTTTATATTTCCTCTGACTTGAGTCCACCATGTAACAGCTCCTCCTTTTAATCTTGGTACTGCCACAGCTACCTTTCGATCATTGGCTACTCTATTCGTTACAAAGGCTTGTTCCATTTCTTCCAACCATGTGATTGGGTCTTGGTCTCCTCCATAGTATTCTGGGTATTTAACATTATTCAATTCGGTCACAGCAGGTTGTGGTGGCACTATTGCATTTACTGCTTGAGTTATTGCAGCTGCCAAGTTTTGTAAGTCTTGTTGATTCATCTGTATTAGATTTTGTTGTTGGTGGTTAGGTTGATTTACTTGATTAAAAAGTTGGTTGAAACCAAATGTTGATTCGTCTGAATTACTATCTGAGTCACTATCTGAGTTTGAATCACTACTTTCACTAGGGTTATCTTCTTCTTCTTCTGTAGGTTCCGGAGAACTTATAACTTCGTTGGGTGTTAATGCGAATAGATTTGTTCTTGCTGCTGCTCTTATATAACTTTGATATAATTGGGTAAAATCTTCAGGGTATCTTTGATATCTGATGCTAATTAATAGTATTTGAGATACTTGTGGAACTTGTTCCGGGTTATGTTCTGTCAATAGATGCTCAAAAGCAAGGACAGTGTTAGATGTGCAATTAATGGCTTGGTGATTATCAGCTATCCAATTCCAAAATATAAGGAATTCCGAAGAAAAAGGTTGTAATATTGGATAACACTCTGAGCAGGATAAATCCCGATGAATGTGAAGTATAGATGTTAGGCGAGGATGTAGTCTGTGTTGTCTCTGATGTTCTTCTGTATTTACTCTTATAAGGTTAAAATTCATTCAGTTAATCCTTGTAAGGATCAAAATCGTATGGTGGTTTGTCAGGTATATCTTCGAAAGGAACTTCTTCCTGAAATATAAATTCTTCTTTAATTATTTTGTTGCAATTCTCTTCCAAATGCCCCTCTTGTTTGCAGTAGTTGCAAGATGGTTTCTTTTGGAAAACAAATTCAAACTCTTCCTCCTCAGTTAATCCTTGTAAGTTGCAACTTCTTTTCAAATGTCCTTTTTGTCCACAGGAATAACACTTTTTATTTATATACGAAACTTTGGTTGATCCCAAAGGTTGATAATGTGGTTTGAACAGTTCTGAATTTCCGTAGAAATAGTTGAATATTAAATTAATTAGTTCTGGATCTTTTATTTCTCCTTTTAAAATTTTGTTGTAGACCCAATCAAAGATTTCTGATTTGATTATTTCAAAATTATTATTTTTCAATTGCATTTAAATTTTATAGTGCAGGACACCTAGTCCCACAACTTTTTATTGGTCTTGTATATCCTTTAGTATATCAGAAATGGAAATGTAACACCAAAAAAACAAAACATGATTTTGAAGCTAAGACCTTTCTCCACAAAGCTACGATTTC